GTCCTCTATCAATTTTGGACCCGACTCAGGTTAATCCAGGAACATCCCATTAACAATTTTTAAGCTTGTCACAACTTTTATCATCACAACATTTTGCTTCCGTATCTGTATTTTCGTCTTGACTATCGAATACATGTTGTACGCAATCATCAATCTGCCTCATTACATTTCACCACAGATAGTGGCTGCGCTTTCACCTTCTAATTTGTGCAAGAGTGCAAGGTATGGTAAGAAAGCAATGGCATGTTCAGGTCTATGCTGTGGAGTATGTGGACATTCATTTCTAAAAACGTATTTTCCAGCTTTTCTTTATCTGTAAAGAAATCCTCATTCCCACTAAGATGAGGCGATTGCACCGATTCTGAAATTCTGGTGGTTTTCATTTCAAATTTTAACAACATATGTATTGTTCACGGAGACATGCCCTCCCCTTCCTTCACGATTTTCCACAGAAGATCAGCTTAGTAAGAAACGTCGCTGGAAGTTGTTGGGATCAGCTGAGTACAAAGCCATTTATTTAAATCGTGCTTGATATCCAGCTACGACTTACATCCTTAATAAAGTTTTGAAATGCAACTCGTACAATGTGCTGTTAAATAGGCACTCTGAATAAAGGCGACAGTTTCACAATGCCTAGGTTATTTCATGGGAGTATATTTCATTCTTGGACTGCAGCGTGTTTAGGACATGTTGCCGGGAAGAAATGCTGCTGAAAACAGCTGAAAAGGGGTTCTTGCAGATGCCAAATTTTATTTATAATTTTGTGCATTTTGCCCCAAAAGGGCGACAATTAAATACCATCCTTACACCGAAATGATGGGTAGAATGTTTTAATGAGTAGAATGTAGATCTGATTTGCCCGTTGTCTGAAGTGCAAGAGGTGAAGAATGTATATTTCCATATTTTAAAGAATCTTCTCTACATGACAATGGACTTTTTCCAGGGATGTGACCGACCCATGGAGGGCGCAATTTTCCATCAACTACATTTTGCTGGTTCGTTAATCTAGAGGAAGTGTTGTGGTTGCGTTGATACCAGCAAGATGTTACACGATTAAATACCCCCCCATATTCTGACTCTGAAGCGAATATTGAGGTGGCATAGTGAAAAGTAAGTGAAAGCGGAGCCAAGACCATTTTTTCGTCCTGTCCCCGATATCTGATCTGCCTCTGAAAGTGAAAACATTTTCGTTAACCCTTTTTTCACTCTCATTTGATCAAACTTAAAATGAAAATACAAACCTAACATTCGCTCATAGTCTCAAATTAGTTTCGTATATGATTATAAAGATAATAGCGGGAATAGGCCTGTGCCGGGTACCCTGGTACCCGCCGTCGATATCAAAACCCGGTTCCATTTTCCGGGTCGGGTACCCATAAAATAATATAAATTAGGAATAAACATTCATGTGTAAAACATCTGTGATTTTTTTTTCACTAAAGAGAAGACTTCCTGAAAACCCACCGTGCCGCTGAGAACCCGATCCTGCGGTCATTCATGAAACTTCAGTTCATTTACTTTTGTTATCCACTCCTAGTTCCGGAATTTTCCCAGTTCAAAAGAGCGAAAAAACACTAAAATTTACGAGCGACAGGTCACTCACTAAATGTGATTTGAAATACTTCTTTAGACTGACCAGTTATATTGACCTTTGTGTAACCTTTTAAATTACACAAG